CACATCCATTCAAAAGGCTTTAGAAGGCCCCCCCGAACAGCCATGGAGCCCCACATCGGAGAGCTGTGAGAAGTGGCCTGGAAAGAGCTGGGAGAGAGGCCTGAGGAGCCTTGGTGGCCAGGCCAGATTAGGCAACGCTGGAAATTCACTGAATGTTTCTGAGCAGCAGAGAGCCAGAGGGCAGGCAGCAGTCGGAGCAGAGGCAGGGAGGCCATTTCTGAGATGGTTGCTGGAGTTGAGGAGAGCGATGTCTGTAAGGCCCATAGCAGGGAGGAACAGTGAGGCTAGAGACAGCTAGAAGGTTAACAACGCCTCCAGAGAGGCTGAGTTTTGAGAGGCAAAGGAGAGAGAGGGTCAACAGTGATGCTGGGACTTCTTGTTGGGGTCCTGGGAGGCACAAAGGGTGAAAGAGGGAGCCCTCTGTGCTGAAGATGAGAAACTTCAGGAAGCCGACTTGGAAATGTCCAGGGGCTGATGGGCCATCAGGGTACTGGGTCTAATGCCCCGGTCCACTGGAAGAGTGGCTGTGGGCTATAGCCTCAAGAGTTGGGTGTCACTGGTAGAAGGTTAGGGGAGTACTAGCATGCATGAATGGCTAACGTCACCCAGAGACGAGAAAGTCACATAAAAGGAAAGAGGGTGGGGCATGGAGCCTGGGCAGCATGGGTAAGTTAACCAGGATCTGTAACTGGCTTCTGGCTTCTTGACCCCTAATCTCTGCCTGGGCCAAGAGGCCTCAGTCTCCCACTGAGGGGATGGAGCAGGCCTACAGCTGTTTCCCTCTGACACTATGGCTCTATGAATGGCTTCAGTCCCAGTAGAAGATGGCACTAGCCACAACTTTTGGTATTCAGTAACTGGGGAAGGCTGACCCTGGGCTCCTCTTGGCCACAGGTGACAAGTACTGGGTGTTTAAGGAAGTGACGGTGGAGCCTGGGTACCCCCACAGCCTCGGGGAGCTGGGCAGCTGTCTGCCCCGAGAAGGCATTGACACGGCTCTGCGCTGGGAACCTGTGGGCAAGACCTACTTTTTCAAAGGCGAGCGGTACTGGCGCTACAGCGAGGAGCGACGGGCCACGGACCCTGGCTACCCCAAGCCCATCACCGTGTGGAAGGGCATTCCACAGGCTCCCCAAGGGGCCTTCATCAGCAAGGAAGGATGTACGTAAGGGCCCAGCTAGGCAGGTGGGGGGGGGAGGGTTCTGACTTTATGTGGGTCTCAGTAGGACCCACAGGCATACTCTCAGGGTATCCATGTTTGAGAAATACCATCTGGTGGCAAAGACGACTGCCTCATATTACCTGCTATCAAGTCACAATTTCTCATCTGCAGGGATGATTCACAATTGAGAGATGTTTTCATAGACTGACTTCATTCCTTCAGACAGCATTCCCCAGTGGTCCTCAGGTGCAGTCTAGGGGTTTCTCCAGTTATCAAATCTGGATAAAAAAGCAATGATGGGTGTGATGGTTCTAAGGTGCTTTTCAAAAAGGCTTGAGGGCAGGAAGATGGAGAGAGAGGCCTTTTTCATTTGTGAGATGTTTTCTAAGCTCCTCCTGAAGGCTGGACTAGGAGTTTCTCAAGAAGAGGAGCCAGGTCTTGCCAGGTACAAAGTGAGTACCCATGAATGTTTGTTGAATACATGCCCACTGATCTGGTCAAAAGCACAGACTCTGGAGCCACCCTGGCTGGTTTCACATCCCACTTCCACCCCTTACTATAAGTTAGGACAAATCACTTTTCTTATTTTCCTCATTTATAAGATAGGGATAATAATGATACCTACCTCATAAGATTTTCTAAGAATAACATAAATTATGTAGAGCACTTAGACCAATGCCTAGCAGCACATGGCCCATGCCATATAAGTTTTAGCTGCTTTCATCATCATTATCATTTATATGTTTTAGTCAGGTTGTGTGGGAGGGTTGGGGATGGAAGAGGAAACAAGACTCACATTGCATCCCAGGCTCCCAGACTAGAGGCAGAAAAATAAGGTGGCAACAAATGCTTCAAGGGAAAGAAATACTGTGAGAGAACAACTAGGCAGAGGGTGCCACATTAGAGAAGGTCATCGGGAGGACTCTCTGAGGAGACATCACTGGTAAAAAAAGCCAACAGCCACAGGAACAGAGCTGCTATTTGGTGGCTCTGCTGTGTACTTAATTCTTTACACACATGGTTTTGCTTTTGGGGGAGCCTCAGAAACAGATGACATCAAAGGCTCTGACCAATGAAAGTCTCAGACAGGGTAGGGAGCCAGCCAATAAAAGTCTGAGCACATTTGTTTTGTGTCTGTGGACTGGCTGGATGCTAAAGGCTGTTGCTGGGAGCCTTGGGTAGCTCTCCAGCCCCACTGCCTTCTTTCCTTCCAGACCTTCCCCTAGCTGTGTCCCAGAGACCTTGCAATCTGTGTTGTGAAGTGATGTGTGACAAGACAAAAAAATCCATAATTGTGAAGAGATGGTGTCTGCTGTCAACAGCAGAAATCTTGTCCCCTGCCTCCCTTGGCTCAAGCAGGAGCTGGACTGAGGCCATCAGCTATGGAGATGGTGCTGTCCGAGCCCTAAGTTAGGGGCTTAATCTGATCCACATGGGGGTGCCTGTGGACACAGTGTGACAAAGCTGTGGCCACAGGCTGAGAAGGGTCCCATCTGGGAGGTATAAATTGAACTTATCAATTCTACTTAAAGCCCTTCAGTGGCGCCCCAGCACCCTTTGAGAATATGGGGTAGGCTGCTCCAGGTCCTGGGTGCCCCCTCTGCAGCTATACCAGTCATACTCCATGACCCAGCCACATTATTTGTAGGATGTGCCAAGCACTGCGCTCCCCCCACTTGCAAGCATTCTAAAACGCTGCTCCCATCACTTCATATGCCCATCCCTCCTTCAGAGCTCCTCTGGGGCTCCTCCAGGGTGAGAGGTTCCCCTCCTCATGCCCTCTCACACTGACCCAGAGCAGGTGCACAGAGGTGTCTGAGAGTGGTGATGCTGGGCCGTGTTTCTGCAGATTACACCTACTTCTACAAGGGCCGGGACTACTGGAAGTTTGACAACCAGAAACTGAGCGTGGAGCCTGGCTACCCACGCAACATCCTGCGTGACTGGATGGGCTGCAACCAGAAGGAGGTGGAACGGCGCAAGGAGCGGCGGCTGCCCCAGGATGACGTGGACATCATGGTGACCATCAACGATGTGCCAGGCTCTGTGAATGCAGTGGCTGTGGTCATCCCCTGCATCCTGTCCCTCTGCATCCTGGTGCTGGTCTACACCATCTTCCAGTTCAAGAACAAGGCAGGTCCTCAGCCTGTCACCTACTATAAGCGGCCAGTCCAGGAGTGGGTGTGAGCAGTCCAGAGCCCTCTCTGTCCACTCAGTCTGGCCAGCCAGGCCCTTCCTCACCAGAGTCTGAGGGGCAGCTCTGGCCACTGCCCCCCGGAGCCAGCAGGGCCCTAGGCCTGGGGTCGTGTAGTTGAAGTGGTGGCTGCACTGGCCTAGGCTGAGCATGGGGCAGGGAGTGATGGCAGCTGTGCCCCAGGGTGGGTGTCTGGCACCCAGCAGCCAGCCTTCTGTCCTGGGTAAACTACTCCCTACTCAAGGGAATAGGCCAGGCCCCATAACCAGGAGGAGGCCCTGTGGTCACTGCATCCTGTGGTGTCCATGAGGCACCATAGCTCTGTTCCTGGCTGGACCCAGCACCTTCTGTGGGAAGCCAGCACTAGCGCTCTCAGCCCCATCTGAGAGAAGCCACCAGTCTTGGTCCTCCTTTGCCAACACCTGCTGGTCAGATGTCCACCCCACTCCCACCCCACTGTTCTCCAAGGCTTCAAGACCCCAGCTACCAACACGATGGGCAAGAAGCCTGGGTTTCCCCTGCTGTCATACAACAGATCCCTCAGGAAACCTGTTCCACACACCAGGGTCTCCTCTGAGACCCAAGATTTACGGTCACATGCTGCAGGCAGGGCTGTGGCCCAGCTGGCTCTGACAAGGACCCAGCTGTCACATCTTGAATATTTAAATGTCCTGTCACAACGGTTTAAAGTCCCATTCTGCAAAGGCTGCTTGAGGCTTTAGGTGAATTAGAGGTGACTGTTGGTGATGAGGCCAGCGTGGCAGGCCCTCTCCCAGGTGATAAAGACCAAGGTGCTGTTAAGGCCACTCTAATGCCCAGATACCCCCGAGTATGGCCCTGCACATGAGGCTAAAGGGCTAGGGCAGGAGCTGACCCCACTTCTGGAGGCTGATCTGAGTTTGTGACCATCCTCCACTCTCCTCTCCTGTAGCTTGTGGCTTGGGGGCGCAGACTGACTAGTTGAGGCAGAAATGACTCCAAGCCAACATTCTCATGGCCTTGGGGTAAAGGACTCAGGGTAGCTTTCTGAAGTGCTCAGAGTCCACACCCCCAGCTACTCTGAGGCCGATCAATCTCTCAGCCTGGAAACAGTGTTCATATCACAAGCTTGGCCCTTGCTAACCCAGCTCATTGGGCCCATCCTCCTGCATTGTTCTTTGGAAAAGGGCACCCCCAACTGGTAGTGGCCCCAAGCCTAGGGGCCCACCCTTCACTGTCTCTGGCAGAAATCCTAGGGCTCGGCTTTCCTCACTCCAAACCAGTGGAGGCAGCCCTGCTTGTCACTGAGGAGCCCTAGGAAAGACCAATGGGTTCAGTGATGCCCACTGGCTCTCTGCCAAATCCAAGAGGCAGTGTCAGTTTTCAGGGTGCTGGCAGGGCCTCAGATGCCCCCTTGGCCCTCTGAGCCTGCATGGGCCTTGCCCCCACCCTGTGGCCTCTGGGGCAGCTTAACCTGTAGCAGACAGGGACTTCTGCTGCCCTGGGAGCTGTCTCAAGCAAAATCTCTTGTCCCAGAGGCACCTATTTGGTTCCACTGTGTTCCCTGTCATTTTCCTGTTTCTTTTCTCATTTTGGCCAAGGGCGGGCTCCCTGGGGCGGGTGGGGAACTGAGGAAATATTAGTGATTCATAGGTTTGTACAGTGTTTTATACTTTGCAAAGCACTTTATTAGCTCACACCTGTCCACTCACATGAAACTTGTGTAGGCCCTGGGAGGCCAAGGGTAACTCTCATTGTGCCCTCAAATGAAGCACAGAGGCTGTTACATGCCCAGGCCACCCAGTGGGCTGCCTGGGCCTTGGGTCCCCACCTGTGGATCTCTCTAGGATCCAAAATGAGATCAGAAGTGTCTCTTTTATCCATCTTTTCCTGGCCTCCCTTCTCCCCTTCCTGGTTCTTCTTCACTCCTCAGGTTGGTGCTCTCACTTCTTGAAAGCTCTAGGCCCCCCCAGGCTCCCCGTTGGCTCCTGGTACTACTGAGGTCAGCTGAGAAAGAGCAGGAGATGGAGGCAGGCAGCCCAGGCTGCAGATGTGAGGGATGCGAGGCCAGGCCCACAGAAGGCTGAGCCTGGATGCTTCCAATATCGGATTCTCCTGCCTTGTGGTCATCTGTTTGTCCATCACCCCAGGACAGAGCAGACAGAGGGGCAAAGCACTGGGGGCCCCAGAGCCCAGCTTCCCCTCGGCCTGGGGACCATCACAGCATTTCAGTATCAGTCACATTTTAAACTGATCAGCCTTTGTATAATGTTTTTTAAATCATTTCTAAATAAAAGAAAAATACAGAATGTGTCATTTCCCTTGCATGCGGGAACAAGTATCAGGTAGGTTCTGAGAGGAGCCTATGAAGCTTCTGGGAGAAGGGGAACAGGGTGGTTTGGAGTATCTGGGAGCTACCCCATGCATCTCATCTGTCAGTCCAGCAATCAGAAGTCCCCTCTCCCCTAAAGGCTGGCCCAAAAGGCCCAGTGTTACTGGGATCCCAGGAATACAGCCTGACAATGCCTCACTGGGATCCAGGCTGACGGAGCAACCTACCCTAGGGGGAGTATAGGAAGGGTCACTGTGGCAAAGTCCTCTCTGAATTCAAAGTACATGGTGCCATGGCCAGGAACAAAAGCGAGAGCCTAGTTCTCAGCAATAATGGGCAGATAAAGGGAGGTCAGGTCAGCAGCTTTGGGGTCTTACCAAGAGTCCTAGCCTGGTTCTCGAAGTCAGTGACAGGGAAGGCTGCCCCAGGACCCAGACGGCTGGAGGTGTGGGGTGGTTGTGAGCACGAAGGTCTGAGTCGGTTTGGGTGCAGGCTGGGAAGCAAACCAATTCCAGGTGGTGGGAGGGGCCAGAGGTTACATGGTGACCCAAGGCGAGGATATGGAGACAGCCCTGCAGAGACTTCCTTCCAGTCCCCCCGTGACCTACTCCACTCTTCCTCACGTCTCCGCGGGAAGTAAGTTGAGAGAGACACCGGACAGTGGGGACGACGCAACCAGGCGAGCCGGAAAGAATGACGGGCGGTGGGAGGTGACTCGAGGGGCGTAAAGTCAGTACCAAGAGGTGCAGGCGATAAGGAAGCGCACGTCATCCAGCGGCCCCCAGGGGCTGGGCTCGGGCTGGGGCCGCTCAGGGCCCTCGGGCGCGGTAGGCTGGGGTTGCGCCGGCTCCGCAGCGCCCTCGCCGCCGCTAAACTGAGCGCCCATGGTCTGCAGGAGGAGAGGCCTGTCAGGTGTTGGGCTAGCCGCACGCCACCCAGCCCCTGCCCCTGCCCCGCTCCCGTCCGGCCCTCACCTCAAGATGCTGGAGAAGCTGCTCTGGAATATCCCAGCGCCGGCCTCCACGCTCCGCTCGCCCGCGCAGCGGCGTTGAGAAGGGCCGACGTCGTGACGTCACCGCGCGCCGACACCGCCCTCGAGCTTCCAGCGCGTAGTTTCTGGCCCCGGGGGCGGGGCCCAACAAACTCGACCCCACCCACCAGCAACGGGCAAACCCCGCCCCAACGTCCCGAGGACCCGCCTCACGCACAGCCGGGAGACTAATGGAATGCCCACCGCAGTAAGAGTCTTGCTGAGGTTTGTCTAAGGCTGTCCGAGGCCAGCAACCTCCATCTACCTCCGATCAAAGAGAATAAGAGTGCCCTGTAGTAGCCGGGTGCCCCAGAGCCCTTATACAGGACTCTGCCCCAGAGTCCACACACCAGCTCAGGGGAGAACTGAAATAAGTTCTCATCCTTTGAAGCCATAAGTGTGAGGCCAAAGTTGCGTAGAAAATGTTAAGAACTACAGTGTGGGGTGGGATTGTGGAACTGAGGGGTGTGTGTGCCCATTCTACCCCACCTTCCCCCTGGAACAATGGTGGGGCTGGGTGCAGGCGGAAGCCGACAAACACATTCACAAACACACGGACAGAAGCAAAATGCCTTTAATTGGGTGGCACGAACGGACAGAAGCAAAATGCCTTTAATTGGGTGGCACAGAGAGGAGCCATAGGGCCTGACAGCCAGCATGACATGGCAGATTTTTGCAGTAACTATAGATTCAGGAGATGGGCACAGGTGAAGGGTTGGGTATCCAGCTACTCGATACCAGTGAGCTCTCTGCCACCTCCCTGCCAGCGTCTGGGACAGACTGGGTGGGGTGTGAAGAGGGAGCCAAAGTCCAGAGCCAGGAGCCCATGAATCAGCATGGAAAATAATTCAGGTAAGGCTAGAGAGACAGGTAGGAGCATTGTCAGTAGGTGCTTCACAGACCACACTTCACCCTCTATTTTCAAGGTGCTTGCCTCCACCCTCACCCAAGGCCCTTTGTTCCAGCTCAGCCCTTAAGAGCCACACTCAAAGACCCTTTCAGGTTCCACTGCTCCTATGAGTCACAATCCAGTCTAGAACTCTCAATGCTTAAAAACTAAAACTCCTTCCTTGCTCAGGTGGGTAAACTCAATAATTTATTAAAATTGTTACTGGTCATAAATCAGAGCCCTAACCCTAACCCAACAGACATTAGAGAAGGAAACAAAGGGGCTCAGACAGAAGAAGGAACATGCCTAGACCACAAATCCCCTCTGGCTTGGCAAAGCTCAGGCCAGAACATTCTTCCAGCAGGTGATAATTTATGTGCATTATAAAAATGATATACACATTTCTAATGCCCTACCTAACACCTTCAGTGTAAGGTCTCATGGGCACTTCAAACTTAATAGGTTCAAAACCAAAAGAAGCTAATGAGTTTTGTCTCTTCCTTTCCAGTACTTATTTCTTTATCTTATCAAACTGCAAAGCTGACCAGTGCTGACTGTAGGCAATTCTGCACAACTTTATTGGCAGTTTCTGAAGCATTAAATGTAACATCTGCTGTAGTTTTTTAGTAGGTACCAATTATCAGGTTACAGAAATTTCTATTCTTAGATTACTAAGAGGTTTTTCTGTTTTATTCTTTAGTTAAATGATTAGTGGTGTAACTGCTGTCTTCTTTATGAGATTCTATATTCCAAAATGGCAGGGCAGGTGTATTTTATTCATCACTACATCACTATTGTATAGCACATAATATGTTCTCAAAAAAAAAAAAAGCTGTTGAACAAATGACAAAACCACAGATACCACTTTCCTGTTCAGACCCTTTCAACTGCTCTCCAGTGCTGACAGCACAGTTTGTCAGTGTGGTCTCCAAACTGCCCCATCAGAATCACACAAAGAAGCTTATTAAAATAACCACGTTTGGGCCCCATTCCAGACAAAGGGAATCAGCAGCTAGGGGTGATGCCAGGAATCTACATTAACAAACATCCCAGCATAGACCAAAGGTCAAAACCACAGGCCTACAGTCAAAACTTCTTGACATGGAGGAGGAGGGGTTGGAGGGCTGAGTGAAAAAGGTGAAGGGATTAAGTACAAATTGGCAGTTAGAAAATTGTCATGGGGATATAAAGTATAGCATAGGGAACATAGTAATATTGTAATAACTATGTATGGTGTCAAATAGACTTATTGCAGGATCCCTCTGTAAATTACATAAATGTCTAACTACTATGCTATACACCTGAGTAATATAATATTGAATGTCAACTGTAATTGGAAAAAAGAATTCTTGACATGGACATTTAGAGTTCTCAGTACTCTGGGAATAATACTTTTCCCCTTCACATCCTCCACACTTCTCCATCTCTGCCTGAAGTGCTTTCCCACTGTCTACACATATTCAATTATCTACTCATTTCTTGAAGCCCAGACTAAAGGAACCGTTCTCCATGAAATCTTCCTGGATCTCAAAAAGTGTCTCACCAGAGCTTCCCAAGCCACTTATGGTACCTTTTTAAGAGTTATGTGTGCTACAACTTCTCTCGCCTGCTACACTGTGAGCCCGTCAAGGCAGGAGTAGCACTAAGTTGCCTGACTATCCCACATGGAGCCTTGCCTGGAGGGATCAATGAACATCAGACGAATAAATAAATGAAGGGAGAATGAAGAGAAATTTTGCCCACAGTAAATAGGAAGTGTAGTACTGGGCATTTGTTCTACTTTGCAGTTTCTATTCTCATAAAAATATCTGCTGCTCTTCCAAAGGAAGAAGAGATTCTAGAGCTTCACACCCCGAATCTCCAGGGTTAGGGCCCAAGAACCCCCTTAAAAAAAAACCACACACAAAAACCCAGATGACTGTGATTTTCATGCAATCCCCACCTCCATAGTCCTCCTCAGCTCCTAAGAGCAACCTCCCCTCTTTGCCTCAGTCACAGTTCTTTTTTCTGTCTCAGTCTGCTGGCTCAGGACACCGCACACAGGCAGATACAAACTATAAAACAATTTGATAAGTGATAAAATCAGACAAACCAGAAGGAAGCTTTGCCCAGAGAGGGGATATACTGAGCTAAGTTTTCAAAGCCAGGATGAGCAGGTACTCAGGCAGTGCTTGCTAGCTCTATACCTTGTGACAGACTGGCAGTGTGTAAGTATGCCCTCACATGTGAGGAGAACCTACTGGCATGAATACAGTGTGGCTCCTATTATAGGTGGCATCTCTTTCCCCTACCCTCAAAAGGCAGAAGAGAGGCCCAGATACCTGTCAATGAGGGAATCCCGCATGCTGGTAGCAATGGTGCTAGGCTGGGCTTCATTCAACTTGAAGACACTCTCCACCACCGATAGCTCTGTGCTGGTTGTGTCCAGGCCACAGAAGGCACACCAGTCGTTCACCACCATCCCAGCAGCGATCACCTCGCTGCCTCGGTTCACAGTGCCCGCCTGCCAAGTGATGGCTCAATGTGGATCACGGCATCAACAACCAAAGTCTCTCCCATAGCTAATGAAGACTCTCCCCAAACCCTGCCCCGGACCTACAGCCCCAATCCCAAACTATGACATGTAATAATCCAGACTCTCAAACCCTGGGCAAAGGGATATGCATCAGCAGGAGACAGAGGTCACAGAAAAAGAATGCTTACCACAAGGGGGACCTGAAGAAGAGAGGACAGCTCATCTTGGTCTTCAATGGAAGTCTTGGGATGTACCAGCCCTCCCTGATTGCTGAAGACACAATAGCTTCCTACTAGCACCTGGTCAGCCACTGTCTGTCTGAAGACTTCCACCTTGAGTACATCAGCCAGGATTTCTTCTGTTTCCTGTCAAAGGTACTGTGCTCAGGGCCCAGAGCTTGGAAGCCAAAGAACCTGAGGCCTTCCATTCCCCAAACCACGTAGGGCTTGATGCCCTAAGCCCCTCATTCCTCTGCTATGTAGCTGCATATGGAAGCCTCACCCAGAAAAGGAGAGGATACAGCCTGGAGCAGAGTTCAGGCATGCTATGGAGCCCCTAATACCTATGTGTGCCCTGAACAGCCAGGGGCTGGTCTCCACACCATACTTTTCCCTCTAACCCACATTCAAGAGTTCAACTGTCAATCGTCTTCCCTGGCCCTGGCTAGAGGACCTGACAAGTCAATCTCCTTGATTCTGAAGGATTAATACCCTCTCTAGATTCTGTCTGACACTGACCACACCACAGAAGGCCTCTACTACTACTATTCCAATGAGTGCCTAAAATGCAAGAGCCTGGGTATAAAGAGAAACCACAAGAGATACCCCTAATTCCTGCCTGCTAGGCAAGAACAGTGTCTAACCACTGACTAGGCTAGTGCTGTGACTCTTGGGCTAAGCTAGCCTGCCTTACCCTGTCCAGGTCTGGGTGGACCAAGGCCACGTAATCGTTGCAGGTGGTGACGTTGCCCAGGGCTGAGAGCCGCTCCTCCACCCGCCGGATCTGCACTGAGTCTGGGAGGCAGTTGCGAATGTGTTGCAGCTCCTGGTCGGTGGTGTTGTTGGGCACCAGAAGACCATGCCTGTTCCCTGGAGAGACCCAAATTGGGGGAGGGCAAGGAAGGACCATGAATATACAAAATGCCTGCTCAGCCCTGGGGGCTGAAGATACAACCCAGCCCAATTAGCTTCTCCAAGAAAGCTTCAGGCCCAGACTCCAGCCCTTCAACTCACTGATCCATACAACACCCAGGTGGACTGGGAGTCCCACTGGGCAGGCCAATGATGGCCCAGGAGTCTGTCCCAACACATTCTACCCACTTTTGTCATCATCACCCAGGGGACTAGGACTAGCAGGTAGGGGTCCTGGCATTAGTTGTAAATTTTATTACTTAAAAATTGAGATGATAATAATAATAATAAAAAAAAATGAGATAACACTACACACCTACCAGAATGGCTAAATTTTTAAAAAGAACATCAATAACAAGTGTTGGCAAAAATATATGGAGCAACCAATAGGAGTGTAAATTGGTCGACTGCTTCAGATAATTATCTGGCATCATCTATTACACTGAATATTCACACACCCTGTGACTCAGCCATTTTCTCCTAGGTATTATATATCTGATAGATATACATACATGTGTTCACTAAATAACATAGCAGCACTATTTATAATAGACCAAACTGAAAACTACCCACTGTCAACAGAATGGATAAATGCATTGCCCACTGTCAACAGGATGGATAAATACATTATGGTATACTTACATAAAACGTACTATACAGCAACAAGAATGAACAAAATACAATTATATTGTAACAACAACGACTAAACCTCTGCCTCCCTCTGCATGGACACAGTTCCATGAACATCTGAGCTCTGAGATACTCCAATCATAAAAAAATCATTATAATAAAAAAAATTTTAACAAGACCACCAAAAGTCAAGCTAAATTCTCCCTTGTTACATAAGAACTTGCTTTAAGTCCTAAGGTCATAGTTAGGGATAAGTGTGTTTTGTCTGAATAAGAAAATACTCAAGAGGCCAACATCAGCCTGATTATGATAAAAAATAAAGGAACAAACTCCTTTACGACCCCAATGAGCAGAACTAGAAATAAGGAGTGGCAGTGAAGGGAGACAGAAACAGTTCAAAGAAAGGACCAATGGCCAGAGTCAATAGTGCTGAGAGGTAGGAGGGCAGGTTGGGATGCCACTCAGAGACACAGTCAAGGGAATTTAAGATTTCAATGGATAACTGAACAAGATGATCCAGAATCTCAGCTTGTCATTTTTTTTAGAGGCAGAAATGGATGTTCAGAAAGAAGTTGCAACTTGCCCAGAGTCAGGGACAGGGGAGAAATGACATTCCAATCTTAGGCGTGGAACTTGGTGAGTCGCTTGGGTTCTATGAGTCTCAGCTTTCTCTTTAGTCAAATTAGGCCAATAATTCCTACTTCCCAGGATCTTCGTGAAGAAGGAATGGAAACAAATGTAAGACCGAAAGCACTTAATGTTATTTGTCCCTGATCGACTGACACTTAGGCTGCAGTCAGGCCCTGGTCTCAGACATTCATTCTGTAGTTTCCGAAGAGAACAGAAGAAAGCCTGGAAATTCTTGGGTCGCTCGGGGTCCCCTCCAGGGGTATAATTAAAGGTGTGGGAGGTTCCACTCCCACCCTCGTTGTCTTCCACCTGGCTTACCCACACACATACGACCGATGATACGGCAGCCGGCGATGGACGCGTGCACCACAGGGATGGTCTCGGCGAGCTCGCCCTCGAACACACTGTAGAAACATGATCTCGGTGGTCACAGGGATGAGGAGCCTGAGCCCTCACTCTGCCGGAGCCTCCGACTTCCAGCACCCCTCCCCACCACCCATCCGCGCACTGCCCGCAGGCTCCGAGGCTCCCGCCTCACCTGTAGAAGTTCTCGGACCCTCCGATGGCCACCAAGCAGTAGGTGTTGGTGAGTTTGGCAAAGCAGCCGACCTCACAGTTGTTCTCGAACGACGCTCGGACCGCCATGAAGCCTGGGGGCTGTGGAGTCGGGAGTTCAGGGCTGGCGGATCCTCTCCCAGCCCCGGGTCCTGGTCCCCGGGCCTCGGCTCCTCAGACCTGACGGCGACCCCACTCTTCTCGGCCCCTCAGACCTTCGGTCCGGCCCACTGGGCCCCTCCAGACTCTCCAGCTCTGAATCCTCCGGCCCCCACCCCTCACGATCTGGGGCACCCGAGCTGACCCTTCCGGTCTCCCTCCACGCAGACTCACCAGGTAACCGCAAAGTCCACACGCGACACCAGACCCTTCTCCTCCCTTAGTGTGTTTCCGTTTCCGTCTCCACCTGGGAGACTTCCGGGAGAGGGCGACGCACCCTGCCGCGCATGCGGCCACACTAGCTCCATCCTCTGGGAGGACTCTGTGGTTGCAAGGCGTTGGACGCGAGGCCGCCTGCCCCACCCCCAGGATGCTCCCATTCCTTCCTTCCTTCCTTCATTCATTCGTCGCTCACTCATTCAGGAGCTTTCTTGGAGGTACAATAAACCGAGACCTGTGGCTGGTTGGACGTAAGGCATAAGAGAGGAGGAGCCAGGGATGTCTCGCTGATGAATTGATGATGTAGGTATTTACTGAAGTAAAGCCTGAGGAGGAAGAGCAGGTGTGGGGACGGTGACCAGCTAAGTGTAAGGTGCGGGACAGACGTTCAGGCCGGATCTGGAGCCCAGGGGAGAGTAAAGCGCTGAGATTTGCGGCTGATTCCTGGGGTGAATGAGGTCACCCATGGAGAAGGTGAGACTAGGTGAGAAGTTAGACCAGGACAGAGGCTGGAGAAGAAGGCGCAGAGAGAAAAGTAGAGGAAACAAGTCTGAAGAAGGTACTGGAGAGAGGGGAGGATAGATGAAGCAGGGTCTTAGGGAGGGTCCTGAGTGGGCAAGGGTGGAGGTGCTGACTGGCTTCCACTCTGTGCCCCTTGCATGTGCTTGGTCACTCAGCAGCCACTTTCTATCCCTGGGACAGATGGTGGTGGTTAAGGGATATGCGCTTGTGGACGAGATGTACTTGACCCACAATTTGTAGGATCTACAAGAGCCCCAGGAGCTCTCAGAATGTCACAGTGAGGGCAGAAGGTGCTTTGAGCCCCTTTCCTCCCCTCATCCCTCCTGTGGCCATCCATGTTCTACCAGGGAGCCCTTCATAACTGGCTCGAGTGGTGCCCTCCCCCTCCCCCCAGCACTTACTTCCATAACTCCACCTTCTTCAGGATACACCAAGCTGCAGCTGAGTCATAACATGTCTGCTTTTATTCATTTCTATCATGTATAATACTATTCCTGGCAGGGGGTGAGCTCAGAAAAAGGACCCACAACTTGTCAGAGCCTGTGCTTCAAGGAACACTCAGCAAAAGTGTGTGCATGTGTGTGTGTGTGTGTGTGTGTGTGTGTGTGTGTGTGTGTGTGTGTCAGAGTCTGGGTATACATATCCTCTGTATACTCCCCAGTTCCTCTCAGACCCACTCTGTCGTTCCCCTCCCTGGTCTCTCTTCACCTGATTCCCTCTACCAGGAATTTCTAAACCCTCTCTTCTCTCTGTCCAAATCCTCCCCATTCTTCAAAGCCTGGCTCAAAGGCTGCCTCTTCTAAGAAACTCCTTATGACTCCACCATCACCACAACTCTCTGCCCTTCATTCCTTACCACACTCTGTCACTGGTTAGCCTTTAATTAGATACAGCCTTGTTTTGCTGGCCAGTGGTTTATGCATTTAATCCAGGGACTGTGTCTGATTTATTTGTCAGCCCTATGTCATCCCCAGCAGGGCAGGGTACACAGCTTAGGTACAAGAAAATACTAGTTGGTATGTGCTGTGTGTGTGTGTGTGTGTGTGTGTGTGTGTCTGTGTGTGTGTGTGTGTGTGTCTGTGTGTTTAGTGCATATTTATGGTCTGTGGATCTTGAGGGATCTACAATGTGACTGAATGCATATATTTTATGTAGCCATTCATTTAGCCAAATGACATTTATTGTGTTTGTGGGTGTGCAGTTGTGGGTGTGAACACTGTGAGTGTGTTATGTATATTATACAGGCATTTGGGGCATCTCTATGATGTGCGTATTTTGTGTGCATGGGGACGTATGAACTGTCGATATCATGTGTCATGTCTGTGCAAAAACACAATCTTAAGAGTCAGAGACACACGGCTCCTACTCTGCCATTTACTTAGACCTGATTCCAAGCAAGTTATCCAACTCTCTGGGCCTCAGCTTCCACATTTATAAAATAGGGAAGATAACACCTAAGATCCTAGAATTGTATATCTACTAGAGGGCTACCTTGTAGGATGTTATGAAGATAAAGGATGAGAAGTAACCATGTGAAGTGCCCAACACAGTGGCAAATGACATTATGGGTTCCATTTTCCCATGTATGTGTGTATGTGTGTGTGTAAGCAAGCATCCTGAGCCCAGGGAGTATCTAAACTGGACTTCTAGACACCCTCTCCTCCCCACGCATCCCCTGCCTGATCTCCCACCCAGAGCAAACCTATAGTCTCAGCAGATGGAGGAGGAATGTTTCTCTGCGGGGAGCAAGACTAGGACTCAAAGCGGCTTCGGAGCAGCTTGAACTTGGACTTGTTGTACTTAGTGATGAGGTCCAGTTTGCTGTGGCCCAAGGTCAACCGTTTCTCATCCCCAGATGGTCCATTGCTACTGCCATTGTGCTGGCCACCTGTGGGGCCCCCAGGAAGGCCAGGCTCAGTTCCCTGCCTGGCACCCTGCAATTGATGATACTTGGTGATGAGGTCCAGCTTGCTGTGGCCCAGAGTCAGCCGCTTCTCATCCTCAGAGCCCACTCCAGGCTTGCGGGCAGGGCCTGGTCCAGGGAGACCATTGGGCCCAGGCCCCTCACCCCGGAATGGGCCAAACTTTGTGATGAGGTCCAGCTGGCTGTGGCCCAGGGTCTGCCGTCGCTCATCTGGACTCTGCTTGCCAGCCCTGGCTGAGGACTTGGCTTCAGGGGACGCTCTGGAGCCCCTAGCCATGGGGTGCTGTATCAAGAGGTCCAGTTGGCCATGGCTGTGGTTTGAAGACAGTCTCTTGTCCTCTGGGGTCCTATCGCCAGGTCTGGGAGAACCTGACTCAGGGGCACCCCCAGCACTCTGGGCCCGGGGCAGGAGATCCAACTGGTTGTATCTCTGGTTTGAGGACAACTTCCTGTCCCCTGAGGTCTGCTCTCTAGGCCAAAGGGAGCCTGAGTTGGGAGTTACCCCAGAATCAGGGCCTCCTGCTTCTCGGGCTCCGGGGAAGGGGGCGAGGCGATCCACCTGGCCATGGCTCTGACTCAGAGACACCTTCTTCTCCTCCACTGTCTCCAGAGCTGTGCCATGTACCCAGCGGCCTCGTGGGGGGCTAGGTTCCTGGCTTCCTGGGAGCTCATTCTCTGGGAGCCGGGACAGGACTGGGACACCCCGGGGGAAGGAGAGGAAGGGGCGTGGGGGAGCAAGCAGAGGTGACCCTACTGTCCGGGTCAAGGGGCTGTTTCTGTTGTGGTTAAGGGCAGGGGAAGACTGGGACCATGGGGATGCCCCCAACTTGCCCAGGTTGGCCCTGTAGGGTCCTGGTGGGGAGCCATGGTTAGGATCTGACAGCTGACGTTGCAGGAAGGGTTGGCCACTGGCCTCACGACGAGCAGGGCCTGGGGATGAGGACCCCATACCCGTGTCACTGCGGCCACCGCCTCCTGGTAGAGTGAGGTAGGAAGAACAGCCCATGAGAGGGGAGCGCTTGATGCTGCTGAGGCTGGTGCTGGATGGTGATGAGGACATAGGACTTAGGATACCAGGCCTGAAGGCCCGGGCCACTGGGGGAGGGCACAGTGCCCTGGGATCCTCACCGCCGCAGAAGCCCTCCACAGGCTGTGACTCAGCATACAGACAGCGGAACTCCCGGTCAAAGTCTTCCACGATGCATCCCCTCAGCTGCAGGACCATGCTAGTGTGGGCCTGGCTGCAAAGCCAGGTGAAGCTGGAGGCAGAGGGTCAGGGTCAGGAGGCAAATTATAGGACCCTGGGGCTAGGCAGGTGTCACAACCAGAAGATCATACCAAGACAACTCTACCACCATGAGGGCCAAATGAGGGGCAGACCTCTGAGTCCAGAGTCTGTGCAAGTCCTAGCCAGCTTAGTGGACTTGGACACATGGTTTTCCATCACAGGATCTTAACTTCCCCACCTGTAAAATGGACCAGGGCAAGTTCCCTGAAGTCCCTCCAGTTCCAAAGTGCAACTGTTATATTCTGTGCCAATGGCATTAAAGTCCTCCCACAGAGCTAGCACCTCCAAGTCCCAGCCTGGGCCTGTCTCGCTACCCACACTGTCCACTGAGCCCCCTGCACAATGCCTGGCATGGGGCAGCTGCTCAGTTCATGTTGGAAAAGGGATGAATGAAGGAAAGTTCAAAGCTGCCAGATCTCAGGTGCCTTTGTCAGCCAGTAGCCCAGCCCCAGGCCCCTCTCCCCTCCATCCCACTTGCTCACCTGTAGCTGCCCGCCACCACCTGCTCACAGTCGATGATGACGAACTTCTCCAAGGCCTGCCCGGTGAAGCGGCGGCCTGCCTTGCTGCAGTATGTGTCCCCACAGGTGCTTCGCACACGCATGTTCTGGACCAAGAAGGGATGAAGGTTGGGGGCTGACTTTGAGAAAATGAGACTCAAGCCATGTCTAAAGCCCATGGGGTGTCTGAGCCTTAAACAGCTAAGGGAATCCACTTCCCCATTCCTGTTGACCCCCAATGCTCACTGACCACCCAACTGACTCTTCTGCCCTTTCTGACTCCCCACCCCACCCCCTGGTTACAGCCTCTGTCCCTTACTGACCGGCAGGTGCCCTCCATTGAGGTCCATCTTGTAGCACATCTCCAGGAAGTGCCTCAGGTGCTCCTGAGCCAGGAGAAGGTAAACGGGGACACCACGCCTACTAGAGGCCTCCATGAGGTCACATAGGAGCTCCATGTCAGTGAATATGTCCATCACCACAGCTACCACCTGAGGGAGGGAGGGGAAGCTCAGCCTTGCCAGAGGCACTGCCTAGCCCAGGGGTAGGGGCTGGATCCGAGGAAAAGAGCACTGGACGGAAAATCAGGCCAGAGCCAGCAAAAAAACTGGGAAGGATTTTTAGCGATGACCTAGCCCAGGGGGTCTTAACTTAGACACAAGGTGGTTTCACTGTCTTAAAGTCCTTTGTGTGCATTTTTTTTTCCTTAAGGACTGTCTTAAAGTCCTTTGTGTGCGTTTTTTTTTTTTCATAAGATTCTCAAAGATGTCTGTGGATCAACTGTACTAGTCTAACGCTCCACTCTACATATGAGGAAACTGAGGCCCAGAAGGGCGAAAGAGTCAGAAGCAGAACCCAGACCCCAATTCCCAGTCTAGGTCCTCACTTACTCTCCCCACTAGCTCTGGCCCAGGGACTGTCTGAGGCTCCCTTCTCAAGGATCAGAGTGCAAGCCAGTTACTGGGGTCTTCAACGCCCTTTGCCAGACCTGCCTCAGTCCCTGTGAAGCTACAGAGATCTGTGTGACATCTTATACCCACAGACTCCCTCACTTCCACCGATGCCACATGGTACCAGGTTTTCTGCTCAGTGGAGGGGCTGGTGCCTGTGGCCTCCCTCATAACGGGCTGCCTCAAAGAAGCTCTGAAAAATCCCTGGCACCGCCAAGCCCCCACGTGTCCCTTCCCATTGCATATATCTGCTGTGAGAACCTTCTCTCCTAGTCCAGGCTGAGAGGGAGGAGTCGCAGAGCAAAGCTCTCCAACTGGAGCCACACAGGACTCGGTTCAAACCTGCTACTGCTAGTGATACAGCTTTGGGTGAGTTGCTTCACCTCTGGAAGCCTCGACCTACTCATCAGCTAATGGAAATAATGACAGCTACATCTCAGAATGAAATGTGGAAATACTCAACACACAACAGAAGCTTAATAAATATTCCTTTCCTGCTGCCTCCTTAACAACGAGGACATGAGGTGGAAGGGGAAGGAAGCCCTTCCTGAGGTCACTCAGTCAGTGACAGCCCAGAGCGGAAGCCTAGCTTCTGGCCCAGAGGTGGACGGTCTAGATAGGGGTGAGGAGGCAAGGCTCTGGGGGATGCCCTAGTCCATGGCACAGGCCTGGCCAGGAGTAGAGAGAACAAGAACAGGCAGAAAAGATCAAAGAAGCAGGGGTGACGACAGCAGCCACAGCAGCTACCACACTAATAACTCCATTCCCGGTGCCAGTTAGGCCTGGTCCTCCCCTGCCTGGGGTGCAGGTAGGTCTTCCAGGTTGGCTCATGCTGGTGGGATCTCAGCATCTTGGCTCCCGCTCTCTGCGGCAGGCACCCTCTGGGCTGCTTCCCCAGACAGGGACACTGAAGCCAACCTACCTCAAATCCTGCCTGGGGTCATCTGCTTCATTCTCCTGTCTCCTGAGTCAGAGGTCTCCTTCTTTGGGCCCAGCTAGAGATACAGTGCACAAGGGGCGAGGGGCAGATGGGGACATGCACCAGGTGGCAGGGCTGTGCCTAGGGCCCAGGGCCTGAGTCAGGACCACTTCTTGTCTCCCCGAGCCCGGAACTCTTCACCAACTGAGTGGACCTTCCTGAGCAAGCCCCAGACCCTCTCTGGCTTCAGTTTTGTTCTGTGTAAGTCAAAAGGTGGCTCAGATGTTCACCAAGGTTGGGGTTCTTAGTTTGGGAATCATAAACCTTTTTGAGAATCTGATGAAGGCCACAGACCCTCTCCCAAGAAAGAAGCAGAGAGGATCCCCCCCTGCAATATGGACAATTTGTATGCATTTTCAGGGTGTTTGTGGAGTCTCTGAAGGCCACCCACTATTCCCTGCTTATCCATAATGTCGCGTGCCAAGGGGTTACCAAGGTAAATAAAACACTTGCACTGTCTAAGAGCCTGTGATCTGATAGAGGGCAGAAGTTCTAGTCCCAGTGCTGCCCCTAAGCTGCTGTATGTCCATGGGCTTGTCCCTTCCCTCCCCTGGCCTGTTTTCCATATCTGTGAAATGAATGTCTGGAGAGGTGAGGGCCTTACCGTGCGTGCCTGACTAAAGAGGAAACGCAGAAGGTCTTTGATGTTCTTGGTCTTGTCCCGTTGGAAGTGAACCACAGCCTGGGTGGGGCCGAAGCCCGTGGCCTGTGGAACCTCAGGCCAGCCCAAGTCCAGGTCTGGGGGTTCTGTGTCAGAGGCCATGGGAAAGTAAGTGCCCGAAGTGACTTCGGAGATCAGGCTGAGGCGGTCGGGCCCTGAGGCCTCCAGTCCCTGGGCCACGCCAAGCTCAGGACCCCCATGCACATGGCTGGTCATGTAGTCCACATCCAGGGCGCTCAAGAAGGGCAGTTCCCGCTCCTCAGAGATGACTTGCAGGTAGGCAGCCTCGCCCCGCTCCAGAAGGGCATCGGTTGCCAGCCGGGCGGCCTCGCTGTGCTGAAGCACCAGTGGTGAGCTCTCCCGCCACCAAGGCCGCTTCAGCTCCTCCACCCTGCCCCGCAGGGATCCTGCCATACCCTGGGCTCCCGGACTCCCAGGCCTTAGGCCTCCGAACATGCCTGTCCACCTGGCTGCTGTCACCCTCCAACGGTCTCCATGGCCTCTGTCCTGGGCTGGCTACAGCAGGAAGAAGATACCAGCAAACCCGTCTCCTGCCTGTCCACCCCGTGTGTGACGGGGCCCCCAACACGTTGCCGCCCTAAGTCAGAGTGCTAAGCTCCGCCTCATTGCCCCTGGCTTCTGGAACCTGTCAGGTCAGCCCCACCTGTCTGCCTGCTGTTAGGACTTGCCCTCCGAGGGGAAAGTCGGTGGTAGGCCCTCAGCACACTCCTGCCCTCATCTCTCTCCCGCCCCACCCTAGCATTGCCTCCCCCATCCCCACCAGGCTCCTAGCAAATCCTAACCTCTCAGAGCCCCCATGAGGTTGTATTATGGTTCAGAGGGGCCCGGGCCTATGCAGGGACGGACACACACACACACACACACACACACACACGTGCATATACTAGGGTGGATGAATGACTCAAGACGCCAAGGTAAAGACATGAACACACAAGCAGACAGGCTGACTGACATACTGAGAGTTGACAAAGGCTGATATGTGCAGACCACACATTTTGATCACATTTCAACTGACCCAAACACTAATTCAAAGAATGTCCATACCCCAAACCTATCATGATGGATATTGCAAGCCTCAGCACACCTGCGCACAGGCCCTAAATAAGAGCCGAAGGCAGTGTCACACAAAATTGCCAAGGACGTCACCTATCTGTCCCCTTTCTAGGCCTCTTTTTGCTCCCATAATAGTCCTGCCATTCTCCACCTCCCTAACTGTGGCACTCACAGTCGCCTGTCCCACCCTCACCCAGTTCTGAGCCCATTCTGCAAGAGTCTAGAATAGTGGCTCTCACCCGAGAGTCCCCAAGAATGGCCAGGATGTGCTAAAATGCAGATCCCCAGGCTCCACCCACTTGAGTAGGCTTCTGGAACCTGCTTTTTTAACAGGTGCCCTTGGCTGCATCTGGGGCAGTGGGCTGAGGCCCACCCCTGGAATGCTGTTCCAGATGGCTGCATTTCCAACACCTTCAACTCTGGAGAAGTTCTTTGTCCTGGTGGGGGCCAGACCACAGCCTTCCTCCTCTCCTCAGGAGCTGAGTATTAAATGGTTAGTGAGAAAGTTTGTTTCAGAGGCTAGGAGAAGCACACTGCAAAGTCAGGAGGCAAAAAGGGCTGGCAGATTTCTTATCTCTGCTCTTTGACAAGAGCCAAAGTCCCAGAGTCCTGAGGAGCATGGGTGGGAGGCATTGCTCTGGGGAAGGGAGGCGGGGGATCAGCAGGCAGCAGCTCGTTGGGGAAGCAGGGCAGGCAGAAGTGGTCACAATGGTGCAAAGTGCCAGCCTGAGGGACCACCTTTCTATGGAGGGACAAGGTCCAATGGGGAGGGCCAGGAGAGCAGGAAACCTAACGCTGTGTCTCAAGACCCTGGTTAGTAATGATTGCAACTGGTTTGTTTATCTGTGATCATGTCCAGAGCACAGGTTCTTCTGTGTCCACAGAACTTCATACAGGGTCCAACACATGCACAAGGGGCAGGAGGGAGATTTAGGGGCCCCCTATGTCCAGCTGGCCCCTGGGACCAAAGATGAAAGGGAATGGGCTTTGTTTTTAAGGCGTCTAGAAGTGGGGAGACAAGGCCAAGGAACATTCCATCCCATCTCAGAGTTAGGGCCAGAAATTGGAGCACCATGTGTTCAGAAGAGGCCCTTCCCTGGGGCTGGGGAGGTATGTGAGGGGCAGGGGTTTTAGTAAGCAGAGCCAGACTGTGGGAGGGTAATGAGCTGTGGGGGTAGCCGAGGCGGCAGGGCCTTCATTAGGGCCTTATCTCCAGATTTGTCTAAGGGGAGAACCAGGCCTTATCTGGGCTGAAGTAGTGCTCCTGGGCGGGGAGGTAGCCCTGTGTCTGTGTCGCTGAGTTCCTATGTTTATCCCTGAGTGTGGACATATCTACCTGATGGTATATATTTTGGGCTCGGTCTTTTTAAAACTTCTTTTTAATTGTGGTAAAATGCACATAACATCAAGTTTACCATCTTAACCATAATATAACATAAAGTTTACCATCTTAACTATGTACAGTTCAGTGGCATTAAGTGGATTCACATTGTTGTGCGACCATCACCAACTACATCTATCTCCAGAACTCTTTTCCTCTTGCAAAACTACCCTTTAAACAACAGCTTCCCATTTCCTCCTCTTCCCATCCTGGTAACCACCTCTCTACTTTCTATTTCTATGAATTTGACTTCTCTAGGTACCTCACGTAAGTGGAATCATACAGTATTTGTCCTTTTGTGACTGGCACATTTCACTTAGCTAATGTCCTCAAGGATCAGTCATGTTGTAGCCTGTCTCAGAATTCTCTTCCTTTTTAAGGCTGAGTAATATTCCATTGTGTGTATATACCACGTTTATCTATTCACCCACTGATGAACACTTGGGTTATTTCTACCTTTTGACTGTTGTGAATAATGCTGCTTGAATATGGGTATACAAATTTGGCTCAGCATTTTTACACATTTTCCTCCATGCCCATGTTTATTAGATTCCATTTTTGTAAGTAAAAAACTACTGAATATTGGCAATTTCCTAAGGCTCAATTCAACATATATACCTATACCTGTGCAGAACTGTACCTGTGCATGTACGTACATGTACATACTGGATGTTTGTGCATCTGCTTGACTGCCTTTAAGTATCCAGCCGCACGTCACTGTATATTTACCTGTGTGCACAGCTGTGTATACGTACTTATGTGTGCATGTCTGGGTGTAGATCTATTTGTGTGCGTGAGCGCCTGGTCAGTGGTCTTTATCTCTAAATCTGGACTGCAAGGATGGGAAGACTGACTTGAAGGGATCCCCAACATCCTAATAATGAAAATGTGTAAATCAAATCAAATTCCCTAGGGCTGCAAGACTGGTAGGCCCTCCCTATGGGCTGAGTGGGTAAAGGGCAACAAGAGGGTAGATGGATCCTGGCCATGGGCCTTGGCCTAGGGGTAGGGACCCAGGGTGATGGGAGCCATATGGATAGCTAAGCCCAGACCCTAGCTGCAGTGTGTTGGGCACAGTCCCCTTAATAACTGTTATTAAGAGAAAGAAAAATATTTTCCTGTCCAGGAGGTGTGTCAGGCGCCTGCCTGGCATCATTCTGCCCTCCTGGGGGCCATTTAGCCTTGTCTTGAACAACTTGAGTGGCGCCTGAGCAGGTGACTGTCCTGCGGGGGTGGTGGGAACAGAGGCTGGGCTGCAGCCCTCCAGGTACAGGATGCTCTGATGCCAACCCTGCTACACACCTTTAACGTGACACCTCTGGGTCAGGGCGTATTCCTGGGGAAAAGCAGCCAGGGCAAGTAAGAGAGCCAGAGTGTGCCCAAATCCCTTGAATCAAGGCAAAGTGACCCAAGATCCAGAGATACAGGGCCAAGTGGTAAAGATTCCCAGAGGTTGGCTCGAGCTGGACATTGAAGGATGAGAAATATTTCAAGACATGTAGAATGGCAAGCAGGGCGTTCCACACTGGAGGACTAGAGGGTTAAGGGCATGCCCAGTGAAGGAAGTGGGGGCAGCGGT